TGCCTGGTCACCAGGGCTGCTTCACTCTAGCAAAGTGGATATTGTCGCCATCAATGATCCCTTCACTGACCTCAACTACATGGTCTATATGTTCCAATATGATTCCACCCATGGCAAGTTCAACGGCACTGTCAAGGCTGAGAATGGGAAGCTGGTCATCAATGGGAACGTTATCACTATCTTCCAGGAGCAAGATCCCCCCAACATCAAGTGGGGAGATGCTGGTGCTGAGTATGTTGTGGAGTCCACTGGTGTCTTCACAACCTTGGAGAAGGCTGGGGCTCACTTGAACGGTGGTGCTAAACGGGTAATCATCTCTGCTCCTTCTGCCAATGCCTCCATGTTTGTGGTGGGCGTGAACCATGAAAAGTATGACAACTCTCTCAAGATTGTCAGCAATGCCTCCTGCACCACCAACTGCTTGGCTCCCCTGGCCAAGGTCATCCATGACAACTTAGGCATTGTAGAGGGACTCATGACCACAGTCCATGCCATCACTGCCACCCAGAAGACTGTGGATGGCCCCTCTGGAGAGCTGTAGCATCATGGCCGTGGAGCTGCCCAGAACATCATCCCTACATCTACTGGCGCTGCCAAGGCTGTGGGCAAGGTCATCCCTGAACTGAATGGGAAACTTACCGGCATGGCTTTCCGTGTCCCCACCCCCAATGTGTCAGTTGTGGACCTGACCTGACGTCTGGAGAAAGCTGCCAAATATGATGACATCAAGAAAGTAGTAAAGCAGGCATCAGAAGGGCCCCTCAAGGGCATCCTGGGATACACAGAAGACCAGGTTGTCTCCTGTGACTTTAATAGTGACACCCACTTCTCCACCTTTGATGCTGGGGCTGGCAATGCCCTGAACGACCACTTTGTCAAACTCATTTCCTGGTATGACAGTGAATTTGGCTACAGCAACCGGGTGGTTGACCTGATGGTTCACATGGCCTCCAAAGAATTAAGATCCCCTGGGACCACCAGCCCCAGCAATAGCACTAGAAGAGAGAGAGAGACCCTCAGCTGCTGGGGAGTCCATGCCCCAACTTGATCCTCCCACACACTGAGAATCTCACACCCTTGACACGTTTCCATCAAATCCCCCTGTGAAAGGGGAGGGGCTTAGCGAGCCCACCTTGTCATGTACCATCAATAAAGTACACTGTACTCAGCAAAAAAAAAAAAAAAAAATTCTTTGATGAATTGACCACAAGCCCTAAAGGGACATGCTGCTAAAAGAATGTAGTTAAATGTGTATTTATATAGAGACCTTATAATCTTAATTTTCTATCTCAAATTAACATACTTTACTCAGTAGCTACTAGATTTCCCATTAAAATAACACAGCTCTTAAATGGTAATGTTCAGTATTGTTTTCCACAAACCACGTCTTTTGTTGAGCACACATCAATTTTATAAATAGAAATTAGAGAAAAGTAGGGACAAAAAAGGAGGGGGGGCAATTTTTTACAATAGCTGTGATTCAAGAGCTCTGAGGTCTGGCTAATGTATTTGGCTGAGAACCATTAAGGCTGGCGTTGAAATCCATCAGCTGCTCCTCTCCAGAAGATGTACAGCTTTGGGAATACACTACTTTTTTGATTCAGCAATGGGGAGGCACTGATAACCTTAAGAAGCATTTTTAATGTCTTTACTAAGGGAGCAATGCGTTAGCAAACCTGAAAGTGAAAATTTGGTTACAGTTCTTTTGTGTCCTTTTTGTTGTTCTCATTATTCCTATTGGGAGAACATTTTTAAATACTAAAAAAAGTAACTTTTCAAGTAAGTGAAAGCTAACATGACAGCATGTACATTTAAGCCATTTTAAGATCCTTAATATGATGAATTGTAAAAGCAATCTGTTTCCCAAGTAAAAACATAGTTCTTAACAAAGTCACTGAAAAAGAGACATGTTTGACAGCCATGATGTCTGATACTTTAAGAGAATATCACGGTGATGCCGAGTACACAGAAAACACAAGGTAACAACTAAACATACTGCAATGCACAGAAATGCCCCATATGACAAAGACCTACAAGACTCAAAAAGTCAAATTATAGAACCTGCTCTATATGTTGCCATTATGCAGACATAAGAGCTTAAATATAGAATCAAGCAATTAAAATGCATTCCACACAATAGGATTTGCAGGGTGTCTGAATTTTGACTCATAGCAATTCTATTGCAACAAAACTGGCCAATCAGCAAACATCTCTCCTACAGATGCTTGTGTTCAACCTTTTTGTTAGCAGCCTTTAACTTACCTATAGTGCTATCTTGTCATTTGACTAGTTGAATCAACTTCAGTAATTAAGCCAATTATTTTACACACACACACACATATATATAATTGTATATATATGTGTGTATATATATCTCCAAAATGGTTGAATTTGTTTCTAAAGGATGAGCTACACACACGCCCCCTAGAAGTGTATAGTATACAACTTTTTTATCAACTATTAGAAATAGTCTGCTTCTTAGATGAGTCCAGGTTTGAATAAAAATGTTTGAGCTTTGAATTGAGTAACATCCACTTTCTATGTTTTCTCCAAAATAATTTTATTTAAAAAGCTGTAAGTCTCACATTCTTCCCCATCTTAAAATTGCTACTAACCTATTTATTCACCTTTGAAAACCTGTTAAAACCCAAAAAGAGAGGTTCTTGGTATTTCTTGGCCAGTAGCTCCATGGCTAGCAATGATGGATTTATAATCCAACTACAGGTAATCTTGAATTTGAATTTGTCCAAATGAACCACAATTACTTTTTTGTCCATCTTATCACAGTCTTTCAGAAAATATAAAAACAATATTTTAAGCCAGCAGAGGCTGGATTCATTGCTTCAAACACAGATTTAACTGAAAACTTCATGGGCTGGGCAGGATAAGGGGAAAAGTCTATTAGAAATTATGTAACATTTCCAAACGTCATAAAGACTGGATTTATAAAGGAATTGATAATGAAAGATAATAAGGGCAACGAGGGAAAAAATTGCAATATTTAACTTACATCAGAACGAACTTACAAGGGGAATCATCAGAATGGAAGCCAGTCAAACAAAGCAATAAGGAACTACTTATTACAATATTGAAACTCAGAGGTTTCCAGTTTGCAAGTATCAGCGATGCATAAATATTCTTCCCAATCTACCTTTGTATAATTTCCTCCTCCATTTCTAATGAAGTTACCAATGGTCTGTGCACAAAATGAAAATTTTTTATTAAAGTATTGTAAATTATACAAATAAATTCTCAAGAAGTTATTTAAATTCTAATATTAGATTCTGTATCCTAGCTATAAAGTTCAGAGCAGATTTTAGCATCAAATAAAGACACATAAGCAAGTTTTACTTTATTTATTATTCAGTGTAAATTCCAACACGATACACTGATGTGGTTTTGTGCATTTAGGGAAGAAACATATCTTTGTTAAGTGAGAAATTGTGCGGATGGCTTCTGGAAGACCTTCATTCTAAGCGGCTTTTTAAAAAAATTTCATTTAGAAGTCAGGGCCTTCTTTCTTCAGTTTGTTATAATCCACATTCACTGAGTAAAACTTGAAACAAAAAGAAAAGATAATTTATATTATATCCAAATACATGGAGGTGTTACAGAGCTTCTGAATTTTTTGTTTGCCAGTTAATAATAAGATACTTTTACTATTATCTAACACTATGAAAGCCATTCAAACAAATACATTATTCCCTAAATTCCAGTCTGTTTGGTAATATAAAAATAATTATTTACATAAGAAAAGCAGTTTTCCATTTGTTAGAACCAATATATAAATTTTGTTTGAAAGTAAAAAATTCTCTCTGAAACTTTACTTCAATCTTCAATAAGAAGACAAGTCCATCTCCCATCTCTTTATATAAGAATAATCAGAATAGCCATCCCCAGTTAATTGTTAACCAGTTACTAATTTATATAGGAGAGATCTTGCAACCAAGAGAGATTGATTATATAAGATAATACTTTCTTGTGTGGTTTATCTCACTTTTTTCCCCAGACTCGAGCTAGCTTCTTTCAATGGCTTCTTACTTAAGGGAATTCAAAGGGGGTCGTGCTACGAACCCAAAGGCCAGACACCTCTCTTAATGGTGAGAATCTACCCACAGTTTCAAGAGAGAAACACAAGCAATCTCTTTGGCAATTTACAACCTCTGAAACTCTCTGGAGGATCAGCTATGACCAAGTTCAGATTTTACAACAGTGAAATTTGGTGTCTGGGTTTTTTTTTTTCCTTTCTGTCTTTTTTACTTAGAAGTGCCTTATTTTCATGGTAGGTCTAAGCTGGATTGAATCATATCTAATGGAACCACTTCTGGTAGAATGGCTTTTACCTAATACCATATTTTTGCATATATATAATTTTAAATAATAATTTTAAATCTCCTTATAGTCAACTAAACTTTCTTAAAAATAAATCTTATTATAATTGCTTTTTAAAATAATCTGCTGTTAATGTTAAAAAAATCTTTCTTAAAAAAAATTTTACTTCAGATTGCTCAGTCGATTCTACAAAAGAATTTTAGGATTAAGTCCAAGTAAAATATCATATTAAGTTTCCTCATTCTTAAGTCAAAAAACACCAAAGTGGTACTACTACATAGATTTTCTTCTTTCACCCTCTAACACAAAATGGTAGATTCATCAACATTTTCTTCACATTTTTTAAACAAGAAGTTCATAAATATATATTATTTATCCAATAGCTTTTTTGATTTCACAAAATATTTCTAATTGAAAAACTTGTTATTTTTTAAAAGCATCAAGTTGTAACATATACTGCCAAGTTATCCTCAAATATATATATATATACATATATATATAGAGACTCTTTACAGAAAATCATTAAACTAAAAAGTATTATTTTCTTGACAGTAAGAAGCAACTAGACCTAAATACTAAGATTTTAAAGAAACTAATTATACTCTCCTCTGACTTACTAACACTGGAAAGAATATCTACAGACCATTTATCAAAAATAAAATAAATATTGGTTAAGTTCTAGTAGATGCAAAACACTGTGTTAAATATTCCATGTATGATCCTAATTATTGCAACAAATGTAAGTTATATGGCTTGCCAAATAAAGCCTCTAAACCCAAGCACTTTCCCCTTTATTCCATGTTGCATCAAGTAAAAAACACTGTATACAAACTTTGTAAATAATTCAGCATAAAATGAAAATTTTATTTAAAAAAATAAACTGCAGGGGTTTTTGGTTTTCTGGGGGTTTTTTTGGTTGTTGTTTTTTAGATGTACTCTGGTGGACAAGGGGTTCTTTCTCCCTAAACTAAGACAAAATAGGGAACTCAGGTGACCTACGCGTAAGAAGGTGCGTTGCAATCTCAAAGGCATGGAGTTCAAATGCACCAGATGCTCCATGGGCGAAAAATGGGCAATCTCCTCCTGATTAACTGCCTCCAAAAATCCCCTGGAGGGTCAGCCATGAGTCAGTTCTGACTCAATGGCACTTAACAGTAACAATACCCCCTCATTCAATCTGGACTGTCATAAAGACACAAAAAGTGGGGGGAATTTTTCAATTGCATCCTAGTGCAACCAAAAAATCAACAGCAGATTGTTCAAGGCTTAATTAACAGCGAATGCAGAGAGAACAGAACTTACTTTAGCTAGAAAAGGTATCAAGACTGCAGAATTCAGAATCCCTGAGTAAATAAAATTACATGATGGGAATGGATGCTATCCTATTCTTGCTAATGACAGCAACTTTTAAGGTAATTATCTTTTGCTGATTCTAAGTTTCCCAATCATTCCGATTTCATTTTGCTTCCTAATCGCTGAACACATTAGCCTGTAACAAAAAGGACCTGCTCAATTTGAAACAAGCTCTATGATCTACATTTATATATTAAAAAAAAAAAAAAAAAGATAAGCAGGCATTCTGAGTTTCCTATACCAGAGAAAATAACTTCACAACCAAGAACTTTTAAAAAAGGGGGGAGGAGGGCACAACAAAAAACAGGCATTGGTCCTCTTACCAAAAGATACATATGTCTCTGAACATGTATGATTTATAAAGTTCCTTGGAAAATTTTGACAATTAAGTCAATTGCCATTACTCTGGAACATAACACAAAAGAAATAATGCCAGTATGAAGTCAACTGAATTGGAAACAGAAACGTTTACTACATACAAGCCTAACATGTGAGGTACACTGGACTGTGGATGGCTCTGACACAAGTTTTGAATGCTGCAGAGATGAAGAAACATTTTATATACTGGGAAAATGGTTACTGAGCTATCATCTGCTATAAATCAGAAAGTAGACTATGTTCCTGATGAGTCTGCAGTTTTAAAGAAAAAACTTGGAAAAACAACTAGTGGTATACAAGTAGTTATTGCTGAGTTTGTCAAGGTATCAAAGGGATAAGTATGGAGAACTGGGAAATTTGCAAGCAGAGGTAAAAAAAGAATCAACTCTACAAATTTGAGAGGCTGGCATGTTTAGTCTACCCCTAACTTTGTTTCTCTGGCCCACTGACATCAAGTCTGATATGTGAGTTGTTCTGGCAAATTATAATTGAAGGCTCATAGCTACCACTTCTGTGAGGCTGCTCAGTGCTCTTTTTCCTGTCACACATCTAAATAGATAGTTTAGGGATTCTCATTCACGCTGGGATTAGAAAGAAGACATCTAGGAGTGAAAAGTCAACTTAGGAAGGTTACATGAGTAGAAATGAAACTTTTATTATTGTACACCACCAAAATTTGTAGATTTTTTTTGTCGCCATATTATAACCTCACAAAAAAAGCTAACAACTTAAAACACAAGAAATAGGACAAAAGTCAGGATTCAAAGGCCCAGGAATACTTTTCAATTGGAGAAAAAGCTACCAGGCAAAGATAAGAATATAGTTATGGCCTTCCCAATTATTGCTCCTCAAACTGGTGGCGATCGTTAGCTGTTATTTACTCAGCTTAATTCTGTGAAAGAAACCTTGCCCTGCTTCATTCTTTTTTTTAAAAACTTTTAAATTTTTTTTTTTAATTTTCCATAGGCCAGTATATAGGTAAGTGAATATTAGCTCTAATAACTTTAGTTACATTGTTGCTTGGTATAGTGCATATGTGGTATTCAGCGTTGATAAGTTTTAGTTCACTTTTCCTTTTTGAAAAGGCACCTGTTTCCCATTCCTTCCTTCCACTTTTACATTTCATTGTTCAAAATTAAGTAAAATTCTTCCATTCTCATTCTATAATTGATTTTTTATATACAAATTAACTTTGCAATCAGTAGAGAATAATCTTGTTTATTGCACTTAATAATAAAGATAATTCAAATAATACTCAGAGAACAGGCAAAAATCATTGAATGAGATCAAATAAATTATAAAGGGTAAGGGTGAGGAATTATGATGAACATGATTGTCCTGACTTTCATTTACAATGATATCACCCTGCTTCATTCTTCCAATTGCATCTTCCATTCTAAACTTGGAACTCTTTTGTCATTCATCTAAGGCCCTCATTGGAGGGCCTTCCCATGTTGTCCTTGGTCCTGTTTCATAAAATATGATGCTTCCTTCCAGCAATCGATCCTTCTTGACATGTCCAAAGCAATTTACCTGGGCAATATTCTTTATCTCATAAATTTTTTAGTCGCTTATTTTTGGAAGTGGCTTGCTAGGCCATTCTTAGTCTGTCTCACTCTATAAGTTCCATTAAGACCTATCCACCATAGGTGATCCAGCTGGTATTGGAAATATCAATGACATAGCTTCCAGCATTCTATCAACATCCAATAGTCACCAGAGTACAACAAAATGCGAGATGAACAGTATACTCTCAAGGTATTCACAAATAAGCCAAGAAAAAGAAAGGGAGTATGCAAGGGATAGAGGGGAGACGCGTGGAACCAACTGGTACAGGGAAAAGTAAATTCAATATAAGTGTGTAGGTTTTTTAATTTTGAGAACATAGTCAAAGATATTATGAGTAGTCTCTGACTACTAGAATTAAAACCACCCTTGGGCCTCTATCATTTTAGAAATAAGACAAAGGTTTACTCCTTCCAATAATGGCAAAACTAAAAGTCACTGAACAATGGGTGTGGAACTTTTCAAAGAACAGAAATCAGGTCTACTCAAGAAATCTCATCTATCTGCATGGCAGTGAGCATTCATAACAATGTCTCCAACAGAATCTTCAGTCTTCTTTTTAAATTATAGTGTTTAGTGTCAGTTCTTGTACCCTACATCCTCTCCCTCCTAATGATACGTATCACTCACTCATTCATTGCCACCGAGTCAAAAATGACCCAGATGGCCCTCCACTGGGTTTCTGAGGCTATAAATTTAACAGCAAATTGTCCTTTTTTCTGCGGTGGTGTTGGTGGACTTGAAGTACCAAGGAGCTGTAGCCTTTGGGTTAGCAGTGCAACTCTCTACAATCTACATCACCAGAGCTCCCTATATTGTAAATATTAAGTGTTGGGAATTTACCTGGCCTTTTTATTCTGTTTTCACATTAAAGGAAACTACAAGTCAACATAAATCAACTGCACAACGCCTGAAGCTTCTGCTTTGAAACTGGATGGAACTTTGGATTGTTTCTTTTGAGAAACATTTCTTTCATGTTCAGAATGAATAAAATTGTATGGTGGCTAGAAAGGCAAATCTGTCACCGATGTTTTTTCTCTTCCAATCACAGATGAAAATGTTCCTGCTTCCTATAAAGTTAGAGGTATGTGGTCAAGTTCTGGCCAATGGCATAAGGACAGAAGTTAACAAAAGTCATTTCCAATCCTGGACCTTAAAAACATTTTGCATAATCCTCCAGATAGCAGAGTTCCATGATGAAACAGGACCTGATCCATATGGGACCTAGAGTAAGCTGTGTTTAAGACTAATCTATCTTGATTTAGGATGAACTCTATTTTAAGGGTAAAGTATCCAATCGGGGTTAGGGGTAGGGGATCAGATGACAAATTAAAAGATTCTCAACATTATTCATTTTAAGAAAGTACAAATCAAAACCTCAGTGTGGTATCATTCAACCCACTGTTGTTATTATTAGGTGCAACTACATCAATTACAACTCAGAGAAACACTATGAACAGATCTGACCCTTGCCCTGTCCTGTACCATTCTCATGATTTGTCATGCTCATGCCCACTGCAGCAGTCACTGTGTCAATCTCATTGAGGGTTTTCCTCTCGTTCTCTGACCCTTCACCTTTCCCAGAATATGCCCAAAACAAATGAGGGTCAATTCCACCATGCTTGCCTCTAAGGCACAACCTGGTAGCATTTCCTTTAGGACCGAAGTGTTTGTTCTTTTGGCAGCCTATGGGATATTTAAGACTCTTCCCCAACAGAATTCAAAGGCATCAATTCTTCTTTAGTCTTTTTTATTCATTGTTCAACTTTCAGATGCATTGGAAGCATCCAGACTTGGATCACTTGGTACACTTCAAGTCTTTAAACTGACATCCTCCTTCTTTAGAACTGTGCAGGTGGTTTCCTCAACACAACATGTTTTTTTAATTTCTTGACTGCTGTTACCATGGGGGTTGACTGTGAATCCAAGTAAAATGAAATCATCGGCAACTTCAATCTTTTCTCCATCTATTATAATGTTGCCTATTGGTCCACTGGTAAGGATTCCCCCCCACCCCCCAGATGTTAAGGTATAACCCACATAAAGTTACAGCTTACTAAAATGATAAAAATTAATGTTGTAAGAATATAGAGAAATCTGAACCTTCAAACACTGTTGGTGGAAATAGAGAAAGAGACAATCACTTTCAAAAACAATTTGGTAGTTCTTCAAACAATTAAGCATAGAAATGCCACATGACCTAGTAATTCGAGCCCTAATAACACTCTTAAGAATCTATGTTCACATGAGAGCCTGAATATGAATACGCATGATAGCACTATTCACAACATAAAAAAAGAAAAAAGATCATAAATGACATCCAAGTAGATACATGCATACCCAAGTTTATCGCGGCTTTGTTCACAATAGCAAGGAATTGGAAACAACCTAAGTGCCCATCAACAAACAAACGGATGGAGAAGCTGTGGTGTATTCACACAATAGAATACTATGCTGCATTGAAAAATAAGGAACTCATGCATTATTCAAAATGGGTGACCCTGGAAGACATGATGCTGAGTGAAATAGCTCAGGCAGAAAAGGACAAAAACTGCATGGTGCCACTGTTGTAGAATGAGGCTGACATCGGAGTGGGGGTAAGACTGAGAAAAACTGGATAAATTATGTTTACTGCACTGAAGTCTATGAGGGAGAGAATAGTTTAAAAGTATTATATTTTGGGGCATTATGTTTATCATAAGAGTACGGAATGAGGGTTTCAGAGTGGATTATATTTGGGGTGGCAGTGGGGGGGGGAGAAAAGTGCAACAATGAATGAATGGAATTCCAAAATCTCTGTAGATGTTCATTGAAATAAAAAAAATTTAAAAAAATGGGAAAGGAAAAAAAATCCAAGTGTCAATAAGCTGATAAAAGGTAATAAAATGTGGCATATATAAACAACTAAATATTAAGTATCATAGAGCAATAAAAAGAAATTAAGTACTGGAACACTAAAACATAAATGAAATTTGAAAACACTAAGCTAACTGAAATAAGTAAAAAATAACCCTGACTATACATTGGATGTTTCCATTTAATTGAAATGCCCAAAGTAGACAAATTTATAAACAGAAAATAAATTGGTGATTGTCTGGGATGGGAAATGATAGCTAAGAGGTAGAGTCTCTTTGGGGTACTGAAAGTGTTCTAAAATTGGCTGTGGTACTGAATGCACAGCACTATAAACTGTCTTTCACTAATACACTTTACATGGGTGAATAAAATATAACATTATCAAGTATTTATCTAATAAATATTTTTCCATTCCTTAGTGATAATTATCACCAGAACAAATATTTTTTTTCAACATTTCAAGAGTGATGCTTTGTATGTAAAGAGTTTTACACATAAAGGAGGTTATGTTTGGAAAATAGTGAATGGTCCCAATCCATGAAGCCACTCCTTGGGAGGTGCACATACATAACCGTTCAAGGATTATGTTAAAAACAAAAAAATCTAAAAATTTTATGGCAAAATTTAGGTTTCATTTGTTCCTGTTAATCTTCATCTGAATATTTTAATCAACCCTATAGGAATAGACAACCAACTCATCCACAGTAAAGCCTCCATCAGGCTTCCAACACTGTTTAATCTTAGTTAAGAGGAAATTCCTTCATCTTTCTCTCTGTGAAGTGGCTGGTGGGTTCTACCTGCCAACTGTTGAGTTAGTAGCTCAACACTGAATTCCCTATGTCCCCAGGGCTCCTTCCACACTAGGCTGTCGTTAGGTGACTATGAGTTGACTCTAACTCACAGTGACTCTCAATGTACAATACACTGAAATCTTGCCCAATCCTATGTTATACAATCTCTACTGTGCTTAGGGCCACTGTATACGCTAAGCCAATCCATCTCTGACCTTCTACTTTTCCTAGGATGATGTTCTTTCTCTTCTCAGGTGTGGCCGTTCCTGGTAACATGTGACATAAAGTCTCACCATTCTAACTCTAAGGAGCGCCACATGCACTTATTCCAAGACAAATTAGTTTGTGCTGTTGGCAGTCCACAAGACAATAAATACTCTGTCAAAACCAAAGATATCAATTCTTTTTTGAGTTCTTTATTCACTGTCCAACTTACACATATGAAGCAACTGAAAATTGCAGCGTCACCATAGCCTTTAAAATGACATCCTTGCTCTTGTACTTTAATGAAGTCCTTAAAAGCTGACAGATTTGTCCAATATGTTTGATCTTCTGACTGTTGCTGCCAGGGGTGTGGATTGTGAATCCAAGTAAAATGAAATTACTGATAAATTTGATTTTGTTTCTTTTCCACTTATCACAATTTTGCATATTGGGGCACTTTTAAGTATCACTGACATCATCAGAAGTCTTGTTAAAATCGCAAATTCTCAAGGACCCCAGTAGACCAACAGAATTGGAAACTGTGGGTTGAGCCAAAAAACTTGTTTTTCACTTTGTAACAAGACATGCATTATAATGTGAATTAAGGGAGAAGAAGGAAACAAAAAGAGTACCAATGAATCAATAAAAACCAATCCTTTCGGTAAACTTTCACTAAAATCACATACATACAAAAAAAGTTGTATAAAAGAGCAAAATAAACCCCAAACCTAAGAGACTTGTTTTTAACAAGCTTCAGAATCACTATACTAGACTATGAAAGAACTAAAATAATGAGAACTGATAACTATACCAAGCTCCCTGATGATATCATAGCCAGTAGAACCGAGACACTATCTTGATTTTAAATTTAGAGTCCAACGTATGAGAAGGAAATACCTAGGGGGGAAAAATGTATCTTCTTCTAATTAATTTTCATTTTACTCAAAGTAAAATATATTCAATTTCATGGAAAACTATATCACAACAAATCATTAAAATACACACTGCACCAATTTCAAGCTTACCTTGTATTGATCATTGGGGCCTAGTTTGTTCCATGGTTCTGGGTTATTCTTTCTGTCCCAACTAAACAAAATAAAATATTTTAGTACTAAACTATTTTAAAAATGTCCTATTTTCTAAAAAGCTAAGCTATTTTAACAGATATATCTCATTTTCTACTATGTAGAATATGTTATTATTTCCATAGTGGAATTAAGAGAGATATCTGAACTATTAAAAGCAATCCCACCTAATAAACAATAAGAAAATAAAAAGAGTTTGAAGGGGTAATTATCTCTTTCACAAGACATTTGATACTTGGTTTTTATTAAAACTACTTTATCATGAAGTGTAAAAGTGCAGAAAATAATAGTCCTCAATCCTTTCTTTGCCTCTTGTTTTTCCAGAACAAAAAGAAAAAACAAGACCTATTGTGGAAAAATCAGGCAAGAAAAAAAAAAGACAGAAACACATCAGCAACATCATTATCCTAGCAGCAGGGAGAAAAGGCAAGAAAACTAACATCTGTTCAAATATGTACATGTGCCAGGAATCATGATTAACCATTTTATAACAAATGCTAGATCAATACTCACAACATTACATGGTAGGGATTAGCAGTTCTACTTTGCCAGTGAGAAAGAGGAATAGGAATTAACAGCAGAACGGGAATCTAAACTTACTATACTAACTATAAAACTTGTGTTACTTGATGTTATCTCCACTGCAAAACTATGAGTCTTTGGCAAATCACCAGAGTTCCAAACATTTTTAAGTACTTACCAGACATCTGGATTAAATAAAGCCAGACGCATGACATACAAGGCTGCTCCAGTACCTCCAGCTCCAATGAATACAAAGAGAGGTATCAACTAGAACCAAACACAAAATAGGCAGGAATTACATGTCATCTGCACATATGTACATAAACAGCAAAAGAAAGGCTACAATTAGTTTCTATAAAGTGATTCTCAAGCCTCAAACTACTTAAAATCTTGCACTGAGATAAAACTTATGCAGCTTGTGACACAGAATTCCCAAATCACATGAAGGTGAGTGTTGTTTAAGTGTCTAATCTTGGATGTGGGGCAAATTATATTCAAATTTTTAAGTTCATGAAAATTTCCTCAAATTTCCACCATATCTCTTATCTGATTCCATTAAATTTCCTAGCTGCTTTTATGTGAAGATTGAAAACCAACTGTCTGCAAATTACTTACCTTTGCCTCCACAAAGATATTAACGGGGAGGGGTGGGGGACGGAGAATTAACAGAAACACACTTATTACAAATACTGGCCTAAGGTAAAATCTCTGAAAACCTACTGCTATTTATGTCTGTCTTATAGCAAAGTGGGTTTTCAAGATAAAAATGAAAAGACTTCTTAACTGAGTTTTATATGTTCTTGTGCTGGGGAGAAAAATAACACAAAAAAACCTTGACTGAAATTAAATTGGGGCTATTAAACACCCCCAAAATGTCCAGACAAAAGTACAATCCAAAAAACTCGGGAGCCTCCTTGACAGCTGTTGTAAGACCAAGTGGTGCAATGCAGTAAAGGGCAGGATCTTGAAGAATACGAAGAAAAATAGGGAACCTGATCTTTTCTATTTTCTAAAACACTTAGCGAACACGTAGTTTTCTGGGCTCGATCAATCTGCACGAAGGCAAGCCCAATACGCTCGAATTTATAGCCCTCCCTTGCATCCTGGATGCGATGGATTATGTTTACATCTTAGTACAAACCCCACAGTGCATGGCGTGGAAGGTCAGAGCTCAAGGGTTAGTACATTAGAGAGCAGTACCAAGCAAGATAAAGTGGAGAGTCCCAAGGAACAGTACGTGGCCATGAAAGAACAAGCTCCCAGGGGAGCGAAGATACACCTGACGCAAGGTGGATAAGTACGAGCACTGGGATTGAGGTCGCGAACTTACGCTTGGGTGCTTCTTGGCTTGACTGAAGATCTGGCGGAGCATATTTGCGGCAGAGCCCTCCCGTGCGGAAGGAGAGGATATGTAAAATTAACAGGCCTCTTCGGGAAGAGAACTCTCTGCCCCAAGGTGCGGGCGTACAATGTCACCCCGGACCTCCTACCAGAAGGACCCCTGGCTATGCAGGCAGCTGCGGTAGGAGGGCCCTGATGCGACTGTCTTTAGAAATGCCTGATTTGATCCAGCGCCGCAGGCGTCTGTTGTAATCGAATATCATCCTAATTATTCCAATTAAAATCGTAACACCTTTTGCTCTATTTCTTTGTATATTTATGATGAAAAGGTTATTAGTAGAAACTTCGGTGTTTAGATTGACAAGACAGGCCATTTCTAGGGAGGCCATATGTTGAGGCAAGGCACGGGCAGGTGGGCGGTGCACTCCACATACTGGGGCCTCTAGCGCGGCGCCGGCCGACTAGGTTCGCGCGCTGAGCGCTGGGGGCGCGCGTGCCGGGCGCGCGCCGGCCGGCCCTGACCGCCGCTCAGGGAGATATGCGGCGCCTCTGCCTGCTGGGCGCCTGGCCCCTGGAGGCTAGGTCGCGTCTCCGGCCACTAAGGTCAGCGGCTGCGGCTTAAAGGGCTGCAGCTGCTTCCTGTCTTGGGCTGTCGCCAAAAACTAGTGAATGACTTGAAGGCATTAGTGTTCTCTCTCATCCCTCAATTTCTGGTCCTCAATTAAATCTCCATAACCACCATGTACTGCTAGGACAACATACAAGTTCGTCCTGTAGAGGGTGAAGCCAGGCTGCTCCTTGGAGACAAGGAATTTGAAGTTCTCCGCCTGGCATGCTTTGGACATGTTGCAAGGCGAGATCAGTCCTTGGAGAGGAACGTCATGCTTGGAAGGCTGGAGGGACAGAGCAGTAGATAAACACTTTCCATGAAATGGATTGGTTCAGTCACTGGGGTAATGAGGATAGGCGTGTCAGAGACAGTAAGGTTGGCAAAAAATAGAGCAGGGTTTAGGGCTGTTGTACATAGGGTCGCTGTGAGTCGCAAGCGACTCGACGGCACATAACAACACAACAACCATGAATAACTGTGTGACGAGCTAACGTCTCCTACCATTGGTCCAGAAATTGTATTTGTAAAATATGTCCTCAAGGATCTTTTGGGACTCCAATATTCACTCATCAATTTTCTTTTACTTTAAAATCTTACGGGAACTGAAAACCCAAAATCCGACCTACTGCTCGACTCACAGCGACGCTCTACTGGGCTTCCTATGCTGTCAAGTTTTCAGCAGAGACCTTTCGTCTTTCTCTAGCAAAGCAGCCAACCTTTTGATGAGCAGACCAACTTGGAATAACACATTACATCACCAGGGCCTATAAGAAGTAACTAGATACAAGGAGTGAACTTGAAAATATGAGCTCTGCCCAATTATTCATTAAATGATCTCAAGAATTGTTGGGAAGTCTTGGAGGAATGTACACGAGGACACTTACTAGATCGTCCTAGAGAAGTGAATACACATTACCCAGGTGAAACAGAGGGTGCAGATGTGCTGGACATTCTGTTTAAGTGAAGGTCTGAAGTTAGACCTTTTGAAATACTGAAAGAGATCTAGTAGAGCTGGAACTTGAAAAGTAAGATCAAACCAGAGATCAGATTTACTGGATCAATTAATATTTAAAAATCAAGAGTTTTATGCAGACAGCATTGGAAGTTAAGCTACAAAAAAAATCCCTGGGTTTGAATTATTTCTTTGAAAAAAGAACAAATTCTAGAGGATAGCATTAAATGTGGAACCAGGTAAAGATCCATTATAATAGTGCATATGAATGGAAGCTATACTAAAGGGAGCTTTGGTGGCCTAGTGGTAAAAAGTTACACTGCAATCTCAAAGGCACCCAGTTCAAATCCAGCAGCTGCTTCTTGAGTAAAGGATGGGCAATCTGCTTCGTTAGGATTACCTGCCTCTGAAAAGCCCACTGGAGGGTCAGCTATAATCTGTTCTGACTCGACAGCACACAGCAAAACAATATTCTACTGCTGTAGGAAATGTGATGATTAAGAAAAGATCATAAATATATGACTTAGTGATACTGCTACCATTATTTAGACAAGAAACACTAGAAAAAGATAGATAAGTACCTGTTTAAAATGTAAATCAATTTTCTGAGTTAGAAGATAGATTTACACTAGAGGAATAAATTTAAGACTCAAATTTATTGAGAATTATAGTCATATGACTGAATGATTTTTTTTTCTTTTTTAGATTTTAATGAAAGTTTAGAAAGAACTTAGGTTTCCAATCCTTCATTATTGGACATTTTCCTCCCTACCCCCATCCCAGATCACCTTTTCTTTGGGGAAAAAAGTTCTTCATTGTTATACAGTCATTGTCTGTCCCCCAGTGCCCCCGTTCCCGCGCCAGACCACTTTACTATGCAGCTCTTATTCTGGACTCTTGTAATGCCAATAATTGTTGTTGTTGTTGTTGAGTGCCGTGGAGTCATAGGCGAATCAGAGCGACCCTATGAACGAAAGTCCTGGACACCTCCTGTATAACTTTCATCCTTTCTCCGAGTTCATAGGGTTTCCAGAAGCAAGCTATTATGGAAGTGGTTGCCACTCCTGCTTCTAAGCTTGTTTTAATGGGGGAGCTCCACCAAACACTGTCCACCATGTTAACTATTCTCACATTTGACTCATCAGTGTCACAGTGTTCGGCTTCACAGCAACCACGAGTTACCTCTGTACAGCAAGTGGACATACCGGGGTTACCCAACCTAGAAGAATGTCTCACCAAAAACAATTTAAGGCAAGCCTGAGGGCCACGGAGTAGAGTCACCCACAAAATAAGTACTCTTTTTATTATTCATGCCATGGGATATGCACTTTAAAATGATGGATTTGCTTAAACATGAAGCTTTTTTGGTGATTTATTTTCTCTTGTTTGGGATGTATTCACTAGTTCAAGAGTTTCACTGGGCAATTCTGTCAACTTAGTTCAAGGACATGGATTTCATCAAGTTGTGGGACTTTTTTCTGAGTTGTATCTCTCTTTATTAACATGACCCCCTATGTACTGGATCTAGTTATTAGTTACTGTCAGCTTGATCCCAGACTTTATTGGACATTCTTTATAGTTCAGGTAGACGGTCTGGTTTGTAGAAGAATCACCAAAACCTCAAGCTCACTGCTGTCAAGTTGTTCCAATTCCTAGCAACCCTACTTCACAACGTAGTTTCTGAGGCTGTAAATCCGACAGATGGTGACTGCCCCCCCTTCCTTCCTCAGGGCCGCTAGGAGGTTCTAACTGCCGAAAGGTGCAGCCTTTGGGTGAGCAGAACACCTTACTATGTGCTGCTCCACCAGAGCTCCTGTTAGGAGACTTACAAGAGTGCATTTGGTCCAGTTCCTATAACTCTCGTCACGCCAATAATACCTAATCATAAATTCCTTTTATGTAGTTCTCTCCCTCACCTGTTTCAATGTCATGTACATTATTTATGCCTTCTTTTCTTAGTTTCCTCCTAACCTCCATGTCAGTCTTGTTCTGTAAAAGTGGCACTATGTAATATTTGTCTTTTTGTGACTGAGATATTTCACTCAGCATAGTATCCTACAGGTCACCCATTTTGTATAATATTTCGTGAGTTCCTTGTTTTTCTTTTTTTATTTATTATTAATTTCAATGAAAACTTTCAGAGACTCTGGATTTACATTCATTCATTGTTGCACTTTGAATTCCTTGTTTTTCAATGCAGCGTAGTATTCCTTTCTGTGAATATACCACAGCTTTTCTGTCCATTAATTTGTTTATGGTCTCTTAGGTTGTTTCCAACTCTTTGCTATTGTGAGCAAAACAGCAATAAACATGGGTGTGCATATGTATGTTTGGGTGGCAGTTCTTGTTTGTTTAGTGTATATACCCAGTAGTAGGACTGCTGGGTCAAATTGTATTTCTATTTCCAACTTTTTGGGAAATTGCCGTACTGCCTTCCATAATGGTTGCACCAATTTACACTCCTACCAACAATGAATAAGAGTTCCACTTTCTCCACAACCTCGCCAGCATTTGTTGTTTGCTGCTCTGTTGAATTTTACTATTCTTACTGGGGTGAGTTGATATCTCATAGTTGTTTTGATTTCCATCTCTCTTAGAGCTGAGGACTGTGATCATTTCTTCATGTTTTTGTTTGCCATCTGAGTGTCTTCACTGGAAATGTCTGTTAATATCCTTTGCCCATTATGCAACTGGGTTGTTCTCCTTTACCTTGTTGTAGCACTCAAATATTCTATAAATTCTAGACATAAGCCCCTTATCAAATATATCATTGTTGTTGTTGTTATGTGCCGTCGAGTTTCTTGAGACTCATAGCGACCCTATGTACAACAGCCCTTAACTCTGCTCTGTTCTGTGTCAATCACACTGTCTCCAACACACCCATCCTGATTACCCCAGTCACTGAATCAATCCACCTCATAGGAGGCCTTCCCCTCCTGTGCTGTTCCTCCACCCTATCAAGCATGATATCCCTCTCCAAGGATCAGTCCCTCCTTACAACATGTCCAAAGTATGTTAGATGAAGCCTCAGAATCCTTGTCTCCAGGGAGCCGCCTGGGTTAACCCTTTCCAGGCTGAATCTGTTTGTTTTCCTAGCAGTCCATGGTACCCTCAATACTCTTCTCCAGCACCACATCTCAAAAGCATCAATTCTCCTTCTATCTTCCTTAGTCATTGTTCAACTCTTTGATGAATAACAAGTGATAGCAAAAACCATGGCCTGTATCAGATGCACCTTAGTCTCCAGAGATACACCATTGTTCTTCAGTACTTTGGAGAGGTCCCTAACAGCAGACTTTCCCATGGCAATGCGCCTTTTAATTTCCTGGCTAGTGGTGCCATGCGTGTTGACTGTGGAGCCAAGCAAACTAAAGCTGTGAACAATCTCAGTGTCTTCACCATCCATCCTGATGCTGCGAATTGGTCCAGTGGTGAGAATCTTTGTGTTCTTGACATTGAGCCTCAATCC